GCCTGCTTATCTTCTCATCTTTACTTTGGTTTCCTGCTGTTTTTGAGATTGGGCTGCCTTAGGATTCAGGACACAAACACATACAACCATGTATGAAAAATGAAACTTGTTACCCTTTTAGTTTATTGTGTATCTGTATGTCAATAGCTGTCTCCCCTGTCTACTCTGGGGAAGGATTAGACTTCTTCATCCCCATGAATTTAGGCTTTATTGTGTGACTTTTTCTGGCAAATGAAGTATGAATGGACATGAAATATATCATCCCTGGGCCAACATTTTATATTTGGGTTTTTATCCCTACTCATCTCTCAATGTTCTCATTAGTTTATGACTCAGTCCCAAGACAGATATGTATTATAATCAATAAATATTTTTTACATTTGGATTGATTGCCAATAAAGCTATTATGGATATCTATATAGGTAGTGGTGTCCTTTTTCAAAAATTATTAAAATGTTAACACTCCTCTGTCTTTAAATCTAGGTAGTGAATGTGTTAAAAAAAGTGTACTATTGAAAAGTGGAGGATAGCAATTTTTGTTTGGCAAAATAAAGTGTTTGGTTCATTTGTCCCTTGTGGTAGCTCGAAAGGGAGGTTCTATACATAATGCTGAAAGATAAATTTCAGCTTTAGATGAAAAGTATGAAAATAGAATGTCTACAACATGGGTTGGTTGCTACTGGATGCATTTAACACGATCTACAAGAAAGAGCTAAGTCACAAAACAACTGGTCAGTTTGTCAGTAAGACTAAAAGAGAATAAAAATGTCAAGAAATCTGAGTATTTTCAAGTTCATGCAGAACATGAACCTTGTCATTTCTAACCCCCTGGGTTTTCTAAAAATTTGAAGGACCCAGAGAAAACAAGTCAAACTCAGAATTGCAGCAAGGGCCAAATCAACGGTGTAGTCATCATATGACATTGTTAGTATCTCTGAATTGAAGGTCATGCTTAGTAGCTCTTCTTAATTGGACAAACGAGTTCATGGAAAATAAAGTTAGGGAGGTAGGATGTGATTGTCTCATTGGAACCTGATGATGTCCGTTATCATGCACCTGATGGCCATACTTATTTAACATGGAAGTATGAGAAAAGTAACAATATGGCAAATATTTGATCACGTGGAGCTGACAAAAAGAACCCTGAGTGACTCATCTCCTCCCCACTACCCCTCTGCAAGGGATGTCCAGTTGTCTACAGATGGGCATTGTGTCCCCATCACGCGCTCCCCTCATTCACGATGATATGATTCCCCCCACCCACCCCGCCTTTGATGCTTGAAACCTGGTCCTCTCCGCCCCTCATGATCACACACGTTGATGTGCTGCTTCCTGTGGGCTTTGTTGCTTCTGGGCTAGATTGCTGCTTGTTTACCTTCAAGCCAAGGTCATACATAGAAGCCTAAATACAGGCATGTACATATGTAAATATATTTATGAGTATGGGGGGAATAGACCTATGTGCATATATTTATAGGTTTAGTAGTAGGGTAGCAGGTGGACATTGGGCCTCCTCGCGCGCATTCCCTTAATACAAGAGCAACTTGCTCAGCTAAACAGTCATTTCCGGATCGCTCCTTTTAAAAGAGAGGAGTTCCCACTGGTTTCTGAAACTCATGTAACAACTTCAACTGAGCTAACTGCCCAGCAGGAATCTAAGTTAAACCCTGCCCTGCTTACTGTTTGCAGGTTAATAAGCAAGATAAGGTCCAGTATATCCCAAGTGAGGAAACAAAATGGGCCTCTGGGAGGACATAGCTGACTTGGAAAATATATTGCTTGAGGAATAAATATTGAAGATGGCGGAGCAGGACAAATCAGAATAACAACCCCACTAATACCAAGTTGATGTCAAACCATAGCAGCCAGTAGATCAACTTCCATCTGGTTTCTAATGCTATAATCTTCGTAGAAGCAGATTTTCACATAATTTTCCCCCAAAGAAAGTCTCTGGTCACTTCCACCTGCTGACCTTTTTGTTTAAACAACAATAACAACAACAACTCAGTGCCCTCGAGTCATTGCCAACTCATAACGACCCTGTAGGAGAGGGTAGAGCTGCTCCTGTGGGCTTCCAGGACTGTAACTCTTTACAGGAGTAAGAAGGCCTGTCTTTCTTGGGAGGAGTCCCTGGTAGTTTTGAACTGCTGACCTTGCAGTTAACCGCCCAATGCATAACGACTACACCCAAGGCTCTTGGACCTTTTGGAGTAACAGTGCAGCTGCAGAGCCAGGGTGGCTGGTTGTGAAGTGCTGTGCAGTCAGGCCCACCTCGTGGAGACTCTTTGTACAACAGAACTGAACACAGCCTGCCCCTTAGTCATTTCTACAGTTTTTGGTTGTGATGAAATTATGCATCACTAAAGGCTCCAAGGCCATTTCAAATTTACTTTGCCTTCTTTTGGCTTTTTTAAGCCACTCAGACCACTTAAGAGGTGTTAGGGTTAAGAAATCGGGAATGATTTTTTTTTTAAAGAAATAATACTATGCACACAAACAGAGCCCTGCTAAAGAAATGAAATCAACAACCTAACAACATAGTGTCTGTGGGGTACTGGTTTATGGTTGGGCTGTTGTGCTAGTTAAGGTTTATTGTGCCAACCTGGCCAATAAACACATGTGGGATGAATTGAAGGGCAGAGCAATAAACAGCTCAGTGAGCCTCGCCTTTCTTGTTCTCTGGTCTCTCTTATTCTCTGATGGTCAGACCAGTGTGCGGCTGCATTATGTAGTTATTTGCTTCAGCTGGCAAGGCTCACTTCCTGCGAGACATCCCTGAGAAGAAGCCACATGCATCTACCCTGATACAGCCCTGGGTGCTGGAGGAGCTGTGTGGAGACCCCAGCCAGTGCTGAAATGCTTACAACATGCTCATTGATTCAGCTTTCCTCCTACAGTTGGCATCATGGCGTGTTTTGTGAGTTTGAGGAGGACTTTGTAGATTGGTGTCAGACATATGGGCTAATGTTGGACTTATGGGCTTGGACTGGACTGGGTTGGGATGCTTTCTTAATGTACACTTACCTTTTATATAAAACTCATATTTATATATGAGTCTTTGTGGATTTGTTTCTCTAGTCTATCCAGACTAACACTAATGTATACTTACCTTTTATATAAAACTCTCTCATATATATATGAGTCTCTGTGGATTTGTTTCTCTAGTCTATCCACAGCTGCTAACTGTAATATCAGCAGTTCAAATCTACCAGCCGCCTCACAAAAGAAAGATGAGTTTTTTTAAATTTCCATAAACAGTTACAGTCTCGCAGACCCACATGGGCAGTTCTACCTTGTCCTATCAAGCCATTATGAATTGGAATTGACTCAATGGACTTGTTTTTCCTCCCAGGGACGAGTGACAATCTGAAAGAGGAAGTGTTCCATTCCCATAAAAGGTCACAGTCTCCCAAACCCACAAGGACAGTTCTATCCTGCCCACTAGGTTCCCTGTGAGTTGATTCCGTGGCAGTGAGTTCAGTTGTGGTTTGGTCATCCCACCTCACGTATCTACTGTCATCTGGTGGATACACGTATAGCTGTGTGAGTCTTAAGAAATGGGCCCCAACCCAGCAACCTCGGCACCAGAGACCCCTCAGGTCACCTGTCCCTACTAGTTGTATCAAAATTCATATTGCCTCAGAATCATTTCATTCAAAATGTGTTTCACTACCAAAAACACCTAGTTTTCGCAAAAAAAAATTCAAAGCATAAATATTTTGTCTCAAACAAAAGTCAAACTCAAGGCCATAAAGTCAATTCTGGCTCAAAGCCATCTGAGTCATGAGAAGAGTGGCCCTTTTGGCTTCCCAGAACTCTACAGGATTAAAACGCTTCCTCGTTCATGCAGGGAACAACTGGTGGTTTTGAACTGCTGACCTTGAGGTTAGCACCCCAACATGTAACCCACTGCACCACCAGGGCTCCTGTCTAGAAAGAGTTAGATATAGAAGGTGTTTGAGTTACAAAGACCCTAACACATGAGGCCATTTTAATATTCGGAGGGTAGATGCTGCATTTTCTTTCATGGGGGCTCGCTTTGGTATTGCCGCCAGAGCAGCAGCAACACACAAAGATCAATGAAACTATTTGACCACCTGTGGAAGCCACTGCAGGAGAGAACCTGCAGATGGAGCACTAATATATTTGCTTGCTCTTTTTTCTAAGAACTATAACTGCTCAGCATTTCATTTGGATTCAAAAGAGTCCTCTTTTTGTGGTGAAGTGAAATTGCCCAGCATGACTCTTCTGTTCATAAAGGTTACCCCTCTGATCCATAGAATGGATGGGACCAAGGGAAAAAGTGATGTTGTTGCTGTTAGGTGCTGTGGAGTCGGTTCTGACCCGCAGTGACCCACAGCACAACAGAACAAAACATTGCCCTGTCCTGCACCATCCTCCCAGTTGTTCCTCTGCTTG